TTTACTTTTGATTGTTCTGTCTGCATGTATTGTAAAATCCCATAAAATTCTTACGAATCCTAGCTTTATAAAAAGGGTCTGAGTGATATTCATACCAGTTTCCTTCCCGTAAATGTTGCATATTTTCCAATGCAATCTATCATGCCGAGTTTTATATTCAGTTGATGCCAATCCTGTGCAACCTGATACAAGATGTTCAGTTGAATCTGTGTATTTATCATTCAAACTGCATTTTGGGGTCAACACAATTTCTCAGTATAGGTGCATGGTAATTTCTATTTAGCGAACATTGGTCCTGGACACAAGAATAAAACCTTCGCTTTCAGCTTTTATCCCTGAACTACGTAACAACTGATGGCTACGGGGATTATGATCAGCAGTTTCTTTGGTACGGACTGAGAGTTCATCTTGTCATCGTTTCTGCGTCTTGCACATTGCATTTGCTTTCTTTTTTAGGTTCTTTGCCGCGGCAGTAGGTGTATTATGATTTATTTGCACTTCTTCACCCACTTGAAATTCTCTTTTGAATTTATTAGATTCCTTTAGGAATTTTGATATTCCGTTTTGCACCATTATTATTATTATTATTATTATTATTATTATTATTATTATTATTATTCAGAGTGTCATTCGTTTGGCCCGAAACACACAGGAGAGCAAACACGACAGTTCTACTTTGATTTGATGAAGAAATATGAAACCTGGCACTTTTATTTATTTATCTATTTCTTTCCTTGTTTTTTTTCTTATTTTTTGCAAGACTTAATCCCCGACGTCTTATATCAATAATGATCGAGAGAATTAATATTTATTTAGTATATAGGCGGGAATGTGTGTAAACTGGCAATATCTTCATAAACATCTTTCTCAGATTGACTCCGTAGCAAGCATGTGTGTATAGGTTTCTACATACTGCACAAACTCACGTACACACACGTACAACTTTTATATACACGTACACGCATATATATATATATATATATATATATATATATATATAGTCAAGAGGAATATATATATATATATATATATATATATATATATATATATATATATATATATATATATATATATTAAAATCAAGAGGAAAAACTTAAAGATTCATTTCGGTTACAATATATTTTGTGAATATCTATTTTTTCAGACGGAAATCTTTTAGTAAAGATTTATTAAATCTACTACGAGTAGATTTACTGAAAAGATTAGGTCTGAAGAGATGAATAGATATTAACGAAATAAACTATAGCAGAAATCAAGCTTTAAGATTTTCTTCTTGATTATTATTATTATTATTAATATTATTATTATTATTATTAACTGTAGTTTATACTGAGCTCTCCCTGGATTAATGTCCTTCTTCGAATTATCCCTACCAGTCACAAAATATATATATATATATATATATATATATATATATATATATATATATATATATATATATATATATAATACATATATATATATATATATATATATATATATATATATATATATATATATATATATATATATATATATATATATATATATAATGAATATCCTAAGTATAAGATACCATGAAATAAATATTATTATTCTGGTATTTTAAGTGTTTGATATTTATTAATTAATAATTTTGCTCTCTCTCTGACATAGAAGTCTCCTTGGATCTTTATCCTCTTGGAAATTCCATACGGATTACCATTTTAACTTATTATATATATATATATATATAGATATATATATATTTGACAATTTCTGACGATCGAAAGGGCGTTAAACCCAGGGTCACAAACTCACATTAATACAACTTAATATGTTAGCTCTTTCACTGATATTGAGCGCTTTCCACGCATATATAATATATAAATAATATATATAAAAATTTCATATGTATATATATTTATTTACGCACATACGTATTATACACATATATATGTCTGTGTGTATGTGCGTTCCTGTTTGTGTGCCCCGTATATATACATATATCAATATGGATATGAGAGAAAATATACTTGGGAAGGCAAAGATACGTCCCCTTACTATACTATACATATCTAAATGCAAATACAAACGCGTACAACTATATCCCCACCTAAAGAATCACGCACACACACACACACAACACACACACGCAGCTTTTTCAAATGTCTCCTTTGCTAAAAGTAATAATCCTTTTCGAAGCAAACATATATGACCATAAACAGTATAAAAATCAAATTAAAAGAGAATCTGCTATTTAAAATGAATAAATGCATAAGCAATTTACCAATTTAAAATAAAATAATAAATAATAATTAAATCAATATATATATATATATATATATATATATATATATATAAGCAAATAATAAATAATAGCAAGAAAAGAACATTTGCTGACTTTTGTTTATTAGGTATTAATTTATATCACTTAGCATCCTCCATAGTTTACACTGACTTTCACATTTGACCTTGAGAATATTTTTAGAGCTTTCTCATATTATAAAATTTGGAAAATCTAACGATATGTTAGACTGTTGTTTATAACTAAATGTTTCAAAATAAAATCATTACAAACTTGCCTCATCAGAGAACGAATCTCATTGATAATTAAGCATTTTCCTTTTGTATTTATTCACATATACATCAAATTCGTTTGTGCACTCATGGAAGATAACATTAAAAGGCTCTTGCCCTTCCCTGAATTGAGCTGTCTCAATCATTGGCGAATTTATTCACACAATAATTACGTAAAAATTCGCCTTTCTTTCAAACGATGGCTTAGGGGTAAAATCTTCGACTGTTGCCGAATAAGTCGGGTTTCGATCCCGGCTTGAAGTAATCGGAGGTCTATGTACACTGATAAGCTGTGATACAGCGAAACACTCTGTCTGTAGATGACATATATATATATATATATATATATATATATATATATATATATATATATATAAGTATATATTGTTAAATATAACACACAATGAATGTCTATTATATTTGATCATGAGCCGTTCTAAACTTCGTATAGTTGCTTTAATTTTAGGAGAGAATAAAGACAAAAATTGTCCAACAATTGGATAATTCTTTATTATGCTGTTCTTTGATCTAACCTTTCGGCACACGTGCGCCATCTTCAGAGTGGTTATAAGGACATTTAAACAAAGATATTCACCATCAAAGATGATATTCTGTTATGTTGACTTAGAAGATTGCTATGCGACGATAACGTTTGAGGAATAGCAGAGGCAGGTCGTAAATTTATGATGCGTTTCTATGACGTCATACCACGTGAGAGAACTAAATATTTAAAACAGAAGCCTATGTTTAGATGCAATATATTGTGTTGTGACATTACACATTACATTGCATCTACATCCCCCAATACTTATCCAAAGAAGAAATATACATAGAAAATACTTTAAAAAAAAGATACTCCAATTCTTTATTTCATCAGCCTATGCTAAGCGAAAAGCAACCAAAATCTACAAGCTCAAAAAGATAAGATAACAAGGACAATAAATGAGATAAAAACAGACACATTATACTACCTACTAACTCTGTAACATTCACTATCCAACAATTTCTATTTAAGAGCACTAAAAATCTGATGCCCGATACTTATCCTAAGAGACATTATACATAAAACACTTTCAAAAACCTTTAATATCCTTATTATATCATCCACAATAACTGGAGCAGATAACTGATAACTGACATCCATTAGACATAGCACGTTGAACTAAAACAGTCTATCCCAGCGAGCGAAATAAAGAGTTCAGTTCGACATTCCAACCACCTGAAGAAACGCTGTGATAAATATGGTAACAAAGATGAAGATAATAGTCCGAGCAATGTAAATACTGTATCTTTTACTCAGGTTCACGTATTATACATTAAATTATATCACTTAGCGTTCTCCATAACCTACAAGACTTTTCAGCTAACCTGATGAATATTCATCATCGTTTCTTAAATTTAAAAATCTTAAAAACTAACATCTTCACTCTTGTCTATAAATACTTGTTGCAAAATAAAATCCTTGAATTAGTCTAGATAACGTCTCTCAGTGGAGGAGTCACGTCGGCTAGGATAATTTTTGTTGTTTTTTTCTGTTTTGTCTTTGTTCATATTCTCCTTTTACATACATATTATATTTATCTGAAATGTTATATATATATATAACATTTCATATATATATATATATATATATATAACATTTCATATATATATATATATATATATATATATAACATTTCAGATATATATATATATAACATTTATATATATATATATATATATATATATATATATATATATATATGTATGTATGTATGTTCGTGAAATGAGCGTTTGCATACAAAGATTCGCACACACCATCGTAAAATTGACTTCGTGCACGACGGGTCCCAGGGGTGCCTACGAGAGAAGGAAAGTGGGGAGGGATGTAAATGATGAGTAGACGTCACAAGTGACCCGTTCTTGCCATCCAGGAAGTCTTCAAGGACCCAAATAAATAAAGGGCTACGCTGAGGAAATCAAATCTGACAGCAATCCGAGCCCTTCTCCAGACGTTGATCGGGACAAACCTGAACGAAACGAAGCCGTGCTGGGACAATTCTGGTCCCGAATGTCGGTGGTCCTTATCCATCGGCTTCTCCAACGCAATTCGTTCTCCAAAATCCGTTGGTATCCATCCACCTCATCACCACCGAACCTTCTTCCCGCGAATTTCTTCCTAGCCACCACCACGACCACCGCCACTAATGTGTAATCGCAAGCAACAGGCCACCGAAAAGCTACCAGGTCGAATCACGCGCTACAATGATTTTGACTCGTTTTGCTGACCGAAGCTGAAGATGTCTTCAGGCAGTTGTCGAAAGGTTCTCTGCGTATGCACTAAAAACAATAAATTTAAATAAATAAAAAAAAAACAACACGAAAAAAATGAAGGAAGGAAAGAAAGAAGAAAAATGAATTAAAACAGAGTAGGATAAAGAGACAAAGAAGAATAGACTGAGTTGGGGAGCGAGAGAAAGAAGTTAGTGAGAAGAAGAAAGAAAGAAAGAAAGAAAGAAAGAAAGAAAGAAAGAAAGAAGATATAGAGAAACTGGAGAAGGGAAAAGATAAAAAGAAAAATGTGAAAGAATAAAAAGGAGTAAGGAAAGAACTATTAATATACAAGATATGGAATGATAGAAAAGAGAATAACGTGTAGGAGAAAAAGTAAAGAGAGAGGATGAGAAGAAAGAAGAAAAGGAAACAGATAGAAAATAAAAGAGAAAGAGGAAGAAGTGGGAAATACTAAGAAAAGAAAGGAGAAAGAAGAAAGAAGGAAAGATAAAAAGGGAGAAAGGGAAAGAAAAAGAAAAAAGAAGAGGGGTGAGAACAGAGAAAACGGAAACGAAAATAAGAGAGAGAGAGAGAGTAAAGAAGAAGAAGAAGAAGAAGAAGAAGAAGAAGGAGTATAGGATAAGAAAAAGGTGGAAAGGAACGAAAGTGAAAGTAAAAGAGAAAGAAGAAGAAAGAAAGAAAGAAAGAAAGAAAGAAAGAAAGAAAGAAAGAAAGAAAGAAGAGTGCGTATGAAAAAGAAACGATAAAGAAAAAAGAGAAGATGAGAAAAAAAGAAGGAAAGGAAACGGAGAGAAAATTAAAGGGAAGGGGGAGAGAAGAAGAGGCAGAAAATAACAAAAGAAAGGAAAAAAATAAGGGAAGTGAAAGAGGAAGAATAAAGGAGACGAATGATAATATAAAGAAGGAAACGAAAGTAGAGAGAGGGAACGAAAGAGGAAAAAGAAGACGGGGGATAAGAAAAGTAAGATGGAAAGGAAAGAGATTGAAATTGAAAGAGAAAAGAGAAAGGAGAAGAATGATAGGAAAAGATAGAAGGATAGAAAAAAAAGGGAGAGACTGAAAGAGAAAGAACAAAAGAGAGAGTGAGAATAAGAACAAAGAAAGGAAATGGAGACAAAATGAAAAAGAAGGGAGAAAGAAGAAGGGAGAAATACTAAGAAAAGTCAGAAGAAAAGCGGGGGAGAGAGAGAGTAGAAGAAAAAAAAAGGAAAGGTAAAAAGAGAGAAAGTGAAACTGAAAGTAAAAAGATGGATGAGAATATAAAGAAGGAAACGAAAATAAGAGCGAGAGTGTGGGAAAGGAAAAGGAGGATAAAGAAGAAAGAGAGGATAAGAAAAGAAAGATGGAAAGAAAAAAGAGAGAAAATGAAAGCGAAAAGGGGAAAAAAGAAGATAGAAATACTAAGCAAAGAAAATGAAAAAGAAGAGGATAAAAAAAGGAAGAATGAAAAGAAAGAAAAATAGGAAAGGATGAGAAAAGAAAGACTGAAGAAAGCGGGAAAAGAGAAAGAGAAAGAAGAAGGATAAGAAAGAAGGAAAAAATGAGAGGAATGAAATCGAAAGCGAAAGGAGAAAGTTGAAGAGGATAAGAAAGACGGAAAGGAAAAAAAAAGAAACGGTGATGGGAATATAGAAAAATAACAGGAGAAGCATAAGAGAAGAAATAAGTAAAGGAAAATGAGAAGAGAGAGAGGTGGAAAGTAAAATAACAATGGAATTACAAGAATGAGAAAGAGAAGAATTGGGGGGGGGCGGATGAATGGAAGAAGAAAAGAAAATAGAAAAGAAATGGAAGGAGAAAGAAAGTAAATAAAAATAAGTAAACTGACAGATTTCTTCATTTTTTTTTTTCGTGCCGTGTGTCTTCAGAATTTTGGCGATCATGGCTCTCCACTATTTCCCGAACGTTGTTACTCTTAATAAATTCTGTCTTTTTGTTATCTTGTCTAAACCCTAATACTTGAGTCAATAAGAATTTCTTTCGGAGATAACTAAATATTGGTTTCAGTATAAATACACATTGCTGGCTTATACTTGAGTCAATAAGTATTTATTTCTTTCGGAGATAACTAAATATTGGTTTCAGGATAGGTACATATTGTTGGTTTATACTTGAGTCAATAAGTATTTATTTCTTTCGGAGATAACTAAATATTGGTTTCAGGATAGGTACATATTGTTGGTTTATACTTGAGTCAATAAGTATTTCTTTCTTTCGGAGATAACTAAATATTGGTTTCAGGATAGGTACATATTGTTGGTTTATACTTGAGTCAATAAGTATTGATTTCTTTCGGAGATAACTAAATATTGGTTTCAGGATAGGTACATATTGTTGGTTTATACTTGAGTCAATAAGTATTTATTTCTTTCGGAGATAACTAAATATTGGTTTCAGGATAGGTACATATTGTTGGTTTATACTTGAGTCAATAAGTATTGATTTCTTTCGGTGATAACTAAATATTGGTTTTAGTATAGGTACATATTGTTGGTTTATACTTGAGTCAATAAGTATTGATTTCTTTCGGAGTCAATTAAATATTGGTTTCAGGATAGGTACATTTTGCTGGTTTATACTTGAGTCAATAAGTATTTATTTCTTTCGGAGATAACTAAATATTGGTTTTAGTATATGTACATATTGTTGGTTTATACTTGAGTCAATAAGTATTTATTTCTTTCGGAGATAACTAAATATTGGTTTCAGGATAGATAAATATTGGTCGTTTATAGTTGAGTCAATAAGCATTTATTTGGTTCGGACTATAGTTAAATATTGATTTCAGTATAGGTATATATTGGTAGTTTCTATTTTTTTCTATGCATGGTCCTTGGACATATAAATATTGGTCGTTTATGTTTAAGTCTATATTCATTTACTTGGTTTCTCGATAAATCCATTTATATTTGAGTCGCTGTGTATTTACTTGGTTCAGTGATGGGTAAATACTGACCCTTTATATTTGAATCCCTAAGTATTTAGATTTGTTCAGGGACAAGTAAATATTGGTCTTTTATATTTGATTCTGTTAGCATTTTCATAAGGAATTAATAGTTGTAAATATTTGATTGGTTTGGTTTGGTTTGGTTTGTTTTACGGCATATCAACTTCAATAGATTATTTAATGCCAAAAATATTTTTATTGCTGGTAATTTTTTTTTAAATACAGTGTAATCCGGATATAAGAGAATTGTCGGGGCCGGAGAAGAAGTATCTTATATCCGGGTTTCTCTTATATCCGGGTTTGGTCTATTATATATACATTAACACAGGCTCTAATTTGGGACCAGAGAAAATCTCTCTTATATCCGGGTTTCTCTTATATCCGGGTCTCTTATATCCGGGTTACACTGTATATAGCCGGTAATAATGTATTGCTGGTAGTAATTTTCCTTCAAAAATGTATTGCTGGTAATAATTTTTTTACACAGTATTTCTGGTATTAAAACTTTTACCTTTCATAGTGTTTTGACCAAGTTTGGGGGTCAACTATTTACCCGTAGCCGGGACCCTAACAGGTACTACCAACCCGGGTCAAGGTGGACCTGGGAGTACAAACAATTAAGAGGTGGTTCCACGCTCCTCAAAACCTCCTGATCAGAGGCCTTGCTGCCGGACGTAGTTTAACATCTTACCCAGGACGTGATGGAGTTTATCGTCATACCCAGGGCGAGTAAATATCTGAGTCTTTAAACATTTACTTGCTTTGGTGACACGTGTATATCGGTTGATTATATTTGAATCTGCAGTATATATATATATATATATATATATATATATATATATATATATATATATATATATATATAGAGAGAGAGAGAGAGAGAGAGATATAAAGGTTAAGATGAATAAATTGTCTAAATTACGCAAAAATGAAAATATCACTGATATCTCATTTTAACAGATATATTTACGAAAATGACACTGAAATATCATGAAATACTACGGAGTAAATTTATTCAATAAAATCACCATTGGCTTCAACCACGACCTCCAGATGACTTCGGAATCTGCTACACACTCTTCTGGGCGTTCTCTTTGTTTAAGTTGGTGAATGCTGCCATAATGTTTGCCTTCAATTCATCTCTGGTGTTACAAGGAGTTTTATTGGTCTCAACTGAGACCCACACATAATAATCAAGAGGGTTGCAGTTTGGGGAATTAAGTGGCCAGATGTAAGGTGTGATGTAATCGCAGAAATTCTCTGACAGCCATGACTGGGTTCTCCTGCTTGCGTGGCGTGTCCTGTTGCCAGACATAAGGTACTCCGGTAGCGACCCACTTGGCCCAAAGCAGCTCGACCACCTCAAGGCACTTGATTTAGGCTTCCGTGTTGAGTCTGAGGCCCTCACCAACAAATTCGGGAATTCTTTTTTTATCAGAACGATCAGAATGATTTTTCCGAACTGCTATACCTTTGTAATCACTACTAGACTCATTCAACTCTTTCCGAATCCTCTGAACTGTCACCCAAATATTCTGTAATGTTTCTATTGTAGCTTCTGGTGCGAATGTTAAGCAGTACAGCATGCCGTTTCTAAATTTCTTGCAGAATAAATTGCCTCATGGTGATCTTTTTTCTCACAGACGGTGCCCAACTGACCCTACTATACTGTGCAAATTCAAAAACAAACAATGCGCATGCGCGAAATTAAAAATATAAAATCACGACAATTTACCCATCACACCCTGTATATGAGTCTACTTGTTTCGAGGATAGTTCAATATTATCTAGTTATATTGTGCCTATAAAAATTTGCTTTTGTCGGTAATGGGTAAATATTAGTCATTTATATTTGAGTCTATAAACATTTACTTGGTTCGTAAAAATAATAGTCGTTTAGTCGTTTGTGTCAGTGAGCATTTACTAATCTATAGCAGCTATGGTTTCGGAACACTAATTTAAAGAGTGGATTTAAAACATTGCTAGCGTCGGCTTATGAGGTTAACTGAAGTCCCCTCGTAAATTTAACCATGATTAAGACGTACTGAAAGATTTATTACTATTTATTCGTAACCTGATTTATGAATATACCAGCACGTTTCCAACCGTGGCTTAAAAACCGAAAACATTAAACGTGTTTCTCAACAGACAATGATGGGTGGTTATTAGACAAAATTCAAATTCACCTGAACGCTCCAAATCTCAAAGCTAGGAATTCCAATTTGCGCGTTTTTGTTCTGCGCGCCAAGCGACTGGCGGTAAGAGTCACCTTTCCGTTATCGCTAAGCACTATTTTCTAATTTCTTTGATCTTTTCTGCAAATGTAATTAATTAATTATATTCGCCGCTGTTTTTCATCTGTAGGCAATATCGTAGATCTGTTATTAGGCTGCAATAGTTGGCAGAACTAACTTTTGTGTTTTGTTTTTTGTTTTTGTTTTTGTTTTCATGTTGCTAGAGAAATCAGAGTCTCTTTGAAATTAAAACAGCTTTTCATTCCTTGTGCAATTAAGTCTCGGAAAAGTTGAGAAGCCATTTTGAAAAAAAAAATATATCAACTGAGATATATATGAAATAACAGAGAACATCACCTAGTACTTAAACCCTTGTCTTTACCTCCTGCTTTAATCTTCGTGGTCACAAAAATACTGCGTCAAAAGGACGGGTTTCCCCCTGTCACCGATATTATTTTAACTACCTGACCCTCGGTTTATTGTTTTAAAAAAAAAACGATGATTAGAATTGCTATTAAGCCTAAATGTACGATTGAAGTGAATTTATACCTTTTCTTTGTTCTTGAGGATAAATAACAGAAATAATACACATATTTATTTATTAGATTGTTTATTTAAACTAATTATATATCACATTGTTTATTGTAATGGTTGGCAAAACATCGGCTAATTGCCACTCGATTCGAACTTCATAAAATGGTAAATAATAATGATTTACTCATAGTAGGTTTTCATATTTTAATAATTTAGTGAATGATTATAAATTTATGCATAAATGATTGCTTTCATATTAACTTCTTTAAAAGTTGATAAATGATAAATATTGCATTGCATTAGTTTTAATATAATTGTATTTCTTTTAGAATGCTGTAAATACAAAATTATTCTCGTAAATAATCAATCTAATAAATAAATAGTGTTTAATATTTTTGTTTTAAATTCTCATGAACAATATGTTTAAATTTCCTTTCATCATATATTTAGTCTTTAATTACAATTCTAATCATCGAATTTAAAAAATATTGGCGAGGAGTGAAGACAGTTAAAATATTAGTGGCGCCAATGAAAAATACGCGTGTACAAAGCTTTGAAATTGCCAAAATATCGGCCATCTTTAACCTTAGTGCACGTTAAAAAAAAAAGGTGCGTCAAAATGTTTTTTTCCGTAGACACCGCTGTTATTTTAACTACCTTCACTCCCCGGACTTTTTTTTTACAGCACAAGTTCTGTGAATGTACAAAGAAAGAGGAGGAAGACCAGTGTCTATTTTCTAACCTCATTTATGTAACACGTTGACCTGCCAGAGGTCAATTACGAAATCTGACTCACATCGCCAACTTTATAACAGACAACTTAGGCAATAAAAAAGTTTTGGGTTGATAGCTTCAATTGGAGTCGTAACACTAAAATGCAATACTTTGGTGCCGTTTGTGAAGACAAACCGCCAGTCTGCGTTGTTGATTGTCACAAACATCACTTTTCGAAAATCTACTTTGGATAATTTACATTATTTTTTATTTTTATTTTAAATGCTTCGTTTATTTATCCTATTTTCGATAATGATTCTTTTTTCTTATAAAAATGATTTTAGATTCAATGTGATTTTTCATTCCTGCTTTAAACTCGAGATACCAGTTAGAT